TCTCAATGTCAAGAAAACAAAGATTCTTACCACTAGACTGATAGGCAGCATCATGATGGATGGATAGGAGAGTAAAACCGTCAGCAGCTTCATCTTGCTTGGATCCACGATTAACACCAGCAGACAGGAAATAAGGAGAGGCATTGAACTGGGAAAATTTGCGGTCAGGGGCCTCCAAATTATTGAGGAGTAATGATGTCAGTTTGAGGACTAAGGTGCATCTGATTCAGGCCATGGTTTTTCTGATTACTTGCTATGTGTCTGAGAGCTGGACAGTGAATAAGGATGACAGGAAAAGAATTGACACCTTTGAGCTGTGATTTTGGAGAAGAGCATAGAATGGCCAAGAGAACAAGCATAGGTATCCTGGAGAGGGTGCAGCTGGAGTGTTCTTTGGAGGTAAGAATGATGAGACTTCACCTCATATACTTTGGACATGTTGCTAGGAGGTAATATTCCTTAGAAAATGATGTTGGCAAGAGTGGAGGGTGCTGAAGGAAAGGAAGAACCTCAAGCAGGTGAATTAACACAGTGGCTTTTGTGTGTTAGGAAGTGTGAGGATGGCACAGAATAGAACAGGGTTCAGATCTTTGGTTCAGAGGGTCACTGTGAGTGGTACTCGACAGCACCTAACAACAATAAATTGCACAAGAAGAGACTGCTCTTTTCTTTTTTTTTCTGCAGAGCAGCTGGTGGATTCAAACAGTGTACCTTTGGGTTGGCAGCACAGCTCTTTGCCATTCGGTCACGAGAGCCTCCCTACCAAATCTAAATAATGACTAAAATGTCAGACAACTTACAGAAGGAAAGATACAGATTTATTAGAGAAACTCCTGCGGGAGAACATGAATGGCCTAGGAGAAACACAAGCATGTCTCCTTAAGCAGCAAATGCTCAGAGATTTCCTAGGATCATTTCTCACAAGGAGGGAGTGCTTTTCAGGAGTAAAAGGAGGTGTGATGTTTGCACATCTTTGGTTGAAAGACTCCAGCTCTCCCTCCTCCTCTGAGTACACACACAACTTCAAAAAGGACCAGGATGTCTGGGAGATGGTAGCAAGATTTGATTATGGGACAGTGATGCTTGTGTGTGGTCACTCTGACCTTTGGTTCAAACCCCACTGCCTTTGCCATTTTAGGTCTTTGTTGTTTAAGTGTGTGACCCAGTTTCCTCCAGTCTTATTGTCTCCTGAAAAACACCTTAGTTCTGAGTTTCTGAGACCAAACCCCTTAGATGTTAAGATAAAACCCTTTTTTTTTAAATTTTTTTTATTTAATTTAGGTTGTTTATTTTTCATTTCAATGAACATCTACAGAGATTTTGGGATTCCATTCATTCATTGTTGCACCCTTCTCCCCGCACAAACCCCTCCTCCCCGCCCCCCCTTTGCTCCTCTCCTTGAAAAGCAAAAGAAAAACTCCCTCATTGGTACACAATCCCCCCCGCCCCTCCCCAAACCCTACCCCCTACCCCCAGCTATAATCCACTCTGCAGCCCTCATTGCATACTCCTATGATAAAAATAATGCCCTAAAATATAATACTTTTAGACTATTCTCTCCCCAATGCCATAAACATATTTCATCCAGTTTTTCTCAGTCCCTTTTAATGTCAGGCCCTTGATGTTTTTCATAATTTGTGTATATTTTAACAAATGTTTAGCTAGGTATGTGCCAGTAAGTGTGTGTAACCAAATTGCCTGAAGCGGTGTCTTTTGACTTTTTACCTTCCAAGTTCCCTAGCTCAATGGCATCAATGGCACATGCTTTTCAGTTTACTATAGGCTGGTCCTGGGACAACAGATAAGACTTTTTTTTTTTTCTGGTAACCTGTTTTTCCTCAAACATGTCTGATTCTGGAGGTCCATTTAGATAACACTGTATCTAAAGTTCCTACTTTTACATCTTACAGCTTTTTCTCTATAATGACAAAGACCCTTTGGGACGATATATTAGATATCCCATATAGGCCACACCTCAGAGAACAGGGATGCTGTCCTTGAGGTGTATGGCCCAAGTCAGCTCCCCGGTGAAAGAGACTGCTATTGGAAAGGCAGCTCATAGCAATCAACATAGATTCTTCTAAAAATCAACACGGATTCCAGACTCATGGCAAGACTATAAAACAGGGCTAAGGCTCTGCTTTTCGACTGCCCCACATACGCATGAATGAAAGGCCTCCAAATGAGCCTTTGACCCTTTGTGTCTCAAGGTGGGTCAGGCTGGTTTGAATTGTAACCATTTCTCCAAGGCATCCGTGGCTTACCTGTCTGGGACAGACTGGATTGAAATAGCTTCAGAAGGATCAAAAATTACACTTTTGATTGAGGAAATCACCATTGATCAAACTTGGTATAACAAAATTCAGCAAAGGCTTTTACATATTTGCTCTTGGGAATCAAAATGCCTACTGTGTTGCCAATTCCTATAATTAATGAATGATATGTTAGGTTTTTTACTGGTTTGCATACAATAATTTTTGTAAGTTGTGTTTCACTCATTTGTTGTGTTTTATACAATCTTTTACACTATATTTTATAAAATGTACTATACCTGTTATTACCCCATCTTTTTGAGTCCCTATTGAATCATTCCTGTTCCTTCATCCCAGCCACCCACCCACTAAACTCTGCTATCCTAATGATTTTCCCCTTTACTCACTTTCTGGCCCCTTTCCCTCTCCCTTTTGGACATTTAGATATATCTTACTAGTTATCCTTCTAGAAACCCTGTTCTTGAGTAAGTTGTCATTGTAACAAAATCAGAAGTTGTTGGAAAGCATTGAGATAGAAGTCTTGTTTTTTGGCACTTGAAGTATGTTGTTAATATTTAAAATAATGAAGGATTATACTTTCATGATGTGCATTCTGTTGCTATAGAAACTATATGTTTTAACTACAAAGTTTATCTGTTTGTTATTGTTTGCCAAAATAACAAAATGAAATTGAAACATCAATATAAAACATTGGATTTGCAGGGAGCCTCTGGTGGCAAGTCTGGAGGAAGTTAAACTGTTAACCTGAAGGCCCTGCCTCTCTGGGATTTCTACCAGCTGCTCCATGAGATAAAGATAGACAGTCTCCTGACATGCATTTAGCCTCTTAAAACCCACTAGAGAATCAGCTATGAATCAGCTCTGACTTGAGAGTAAGGAGTTTGAGTTTCATGCATACATTTTAATAAATCATCACCCAGAGCATGATTAGAATGATAGAAACAGAGTGTCAGAACCTTGACTGCCTCAGTGTTGGCTGTGTTTGTTCCAGGGAGCTGAGCAAAGAGAATATTGACACACTGATCTGTTTCAAATGAAAGTATTCAAGTCTTAGAATTAAGTGTGATTCTAATACTAAAAATAGGATAGGAGGGGAGCTCTGGTGGCCTAGTGGCAAGAAGCTGCACTGCAATCCCAGAGGTGCATGGTTCGAATCCACCAGATGCTCTGCCGGGAAAGGAGGGACAATCTCCTCCTGTACCAGTCAGATCTGATTCGACGGTACACAGACACACAAAATAATAATAAAATAAAATTTAAAAAAATAGGATAGGATGTTTGATCAATAGATGGATCCTGATAGAAACATAATCAATCAGTCAGTCAATCAATCAATCAATTACTCTATCTCAAGGAATCCAGAGTTAATGGATCCATTGAGCCTGAAAGAACCTTCTGTTGTTACTGTGAGATATTCTTCATATTTTGAAGTGAAGCTATAACCTGAAGCCATCTTTAGAAAAACAAACAACAGGTACTTTAGCTTAAAAAGTAACCAAAGGATATCTGACTTATGTATTGTGCCTTTTTTTTAAATCTATATGAGACCGAATTGAATGGAATTTTAAATATCTATATGAGCCTAGACTTAAAATTTTATAGCTGACCCTCTAGCCCATAACTGCCCTCCAGCAAGTTTTCAGAGGCAGCTCATTGCATAGGAGAAGATTGCCCATCCTTGTCCCGCAGAGCAGCTGGTGGATTTGAACCATGTGCCTTTGGGATTGCAGTTCAGCATCTTGCCAGTAGTCCACTAGTGGGAGATACACACACACACACACACACACACGCACGCACGCACACGCACACGCACACACAGAGAGATGAAAGGAAAACAGTAACAGAAAAGCATAGATAAGAAAGTTCAGGAGTAGTAAACTTAATTTAATATTCGGTAAAAATAACTCATAGAAATAAGAAGTTTGAGTTAGGTGAAAGTAGCCACTGTGTCTGGACAATACGTTGTAGCAGTTGTTGAATGGGAGCGTGTTTGGAAAAGGTACCTTCTCACCAAAAAAAAAAAAAGTTAAATTAAAAAGTTATTTGAAGCCATTAAATGGTTAATTCTGAGGGGTGGTTCTTTGGGTTTAAAAAGTTTCGGGGAGAGTTACATAAAAGCACACCAGTTCAAATTTACCAGCTACTCCCCTGGAGAAAGTTGGAGAATCTCCCGTGGAATTTACTGCCTCTGAAAACCCACTGGTGGGTCATCCGTGAGTCACCTCTGACTCGCTGGTCATAACAGTAGCAGTCCTTTGAATTAATGATAGCAGCAGTGTGTGCATGCTCCTGGAAGTCAGTGTACTGTTTATGCCACTTTCTTAGCTACATTTTGGTCTTCTCAGTCTGGGAAGATCAGAAATTGCCCTGTGTCGTGTTTTCCTCCATGCCCCTCACCTGGGGCCCTTGGCCGAGAACTATCAGCAGAGGTGGCATTTCTGTTTGTGGCTGAGGAGGGAGGAGGCAGAGGAGGCAGGTTGCTGGGAGCTAGTGGAACCCAGAAGGTCATGCTGAGCACGGCCGGGCACAAGGAAGTGATTGATTCTACAGAAATGAAGCTTATCTTGTGTGGCCCTAGTTTTAATCCCTGCCAGCCCCCCTAGCCCCCCACGGCAAGGCCCAAGCTCCTGTTACTCCAGAGGTAACTGGAAGCTGTGCCTGGCTGCCGCTCTTCCATCCAGATCTTAGTACAACTGTGGTTCTTTGTTGCCTGGGTTTTGCTTGCAGACACAGATGAATGCGCAAACGCCAGCACTTGCGGGGAGGCGCGCTGCAAGAACCTGATGGGCTCCTACTCCTGCCTTTGTGAGGAGGGCTACAAGTACAACAGCGACAAGAAGGCTTGTGAAGGTACATGCCCCCTCCACCTTGTCCTCGCTTCCCAGGGCCTTCCAGCTCCCGGTGAACAAGACTACTTGCACTTGATAAGTGTGCATTGAATTATTAGAAAGCACTGGGTGGATCTTCTGGGAACTCTTAATTAGAACGTGATTAGAACGAAAGTATGGACATGCAGGGGGGAAAAAAAACTCATGAAAGAAAGTCTCTCTCTATCTGTACCCTCAAAGGGTTCCTGGCCCCAGAAAACCTTATCTGGTAGCCTGGTGGCCTGGTCACAACTTCTACCACTGCCCATGCCCTTACATACGTACCTCTTGATACAACTCAGTGCCCTTCCCCAATGTGCTGCAGGTACAGAAAAAAGATTCAGCAGAAGACCCCACTGTGCACAATATGTATACCCATATTCATTGCCAGCTCAAAGTTGACCCTCTAGCTGGTTTCTGAGGTGGAGCATCTCACAGGAGGAGATTGCTCATCTTTCTCCCAAAGGAGCAAGGTTTCAAACACTGGAGAGGTGCCCCCTTTGCAGTAGCAGTGCAGTTCCCTATGGATTGCACCACCAGAAAAGGCACACCCCACCTCTCAGCCAGTTTCTGTTTCACTCTGCTGTATTAGGAGATAGCTTTGAGGAAATCTTATTTCTCACCCCCGGGCTCCAGCCACCTTCTAGAGGAACTGTGGAGAAAGAGTCCTTCACGTCATTTGACTGAGTTTCTTATGATGCTGTAACAAAAATGCCACACGTAAGGGTGGCTTTTAAGAACCAAAATTTGTTTTCTCAGAGTTCAGGAGGTTTTAATTCAGCATGTATATTAAGTAGCTGACAATTTCTGGGGTTTGTAAATTCATGTCCTTTCATAAGCTTCATAATTTACAGATAAGGTCTGTATTCTCGTGTATGAGCTCTCCTTTCTCTGTCTTACCTGGTCTTTTTATAACTCAGAAGTGTGAAGGTTTCAGAAACAAGCTACAATGCTATGACCTCATTAGCATAACATCAGCACCTTCTTCATGTGGTCACATTCCAAACTCAGACTCATTGATGTGAAGTCAAAACCAACTCTAAGCAGACCCTCCAGTGGATTTTCAGGGGATATAAATTGCACAGGAGTTCATATCCTATCTTTCTTCCACAGAGTGGCTGGTAGATTCGAACTGCCTATCTTTGGGTTTACAGCACAACTTCTTACTCAGTCACCAGAGCTCTCTTGGTTCCAAAGACTGGGATATTATAAAAAATTGATGTTACATGCAAATGAAATATAGCCATATCAGATAATAAAATGGGAGGCTATACTATTATATAACTGCTACGTTAACATAATTCTAAAATTACTAAATTACATCATTATAGAACAGTCAAATTACATCACTACAAAAAAAATTACATCACTACATAATTCCCAAACCACAGGGAGTCATTGCGCAGCCAAACTGACATATGACCTAAACTGTCCTAACTAGTGTTATACCTCATCCAGCCTTGGTATTTGTTAACATCTGTCATTAATATGAAAAACAGTAGAATTTTACTATAGTCATAAGCATGTCAGATAATGAGATAGTTGATAAGTGAGGAGAGGGCTTATATGCTTAGGTGATATAGAGTTGGGAATTGTAAAACATGTTCTGGAGGGCACACAGTTCAATCTTTAATGCTGTTCTTCCTTTCTGGTAGCCATGGACAGACCATGCCATTCCATTCCTGATGGTGTGGCAGCCCTAGTGTGGGAACTGTCCCTCCCACGTGATGGACTGCATCAGGGAAGAGGACTAAGTGCCAAGAGTGAGAGTGTGCACTGGTGCCACCTCGCCTGCTAGAACAGAGCACCTCCCAGTCATTGCCACTGAATCCCTCTCCTCCACCAAAAGGTCCCTGACCATTGGTGAGGCCTTGGTCACCAGCACTCCAAGAGTGGCTGCTTCAATTTGCACCAGTATCTCCTAGTCCAGGGATTTTACAAACATGATTTTTTTAATTTTTTTTATTTTTTTACTAAGCTGTGTATAGTTTAGCATATTTTTTTTTTAAATTCTCCTTAGATTCTTCTAGTCTCTTGCTTCCATCAAGAAATAAGAGCTGAGGATAAAGAGCAGACTATCCATCTAAAAGACTCAGCTAGGCCTGGTTATTGGGAGACATGAATAGAAACTAATGCTGTTATCAGGAAGAATGTGGATGGGAACTCAGACAGTTATCTGTAAGAAGGGGAACAGGATTAGAGGGACTTCTGCTTCCTAAGTTACGTGTCTTCAGACTGTTTTGTTTTTAGAATGAACACATGATACATGTGATCAGGAAAAGAAAAGAGAAGTAAATGATTAGACCATGAATGTGGCTTTTATTTTATTTTTTTTTTTTTTTACTTTACTGCCAGCACACTTATATTCTCCCCGCTCCCCCTTTTGTGGCCTGCAGATGTGGACGAGTGTGAGGAAAAGCTCTGTGAACAGGTCTGTGTCAATTCTCCAGGGAGCTACACCTGCCATTGTGATGGACGAGGGGGCCTCAAACTGTCCCAGGACATGAATACCTGTGAGGTAGTGTTTCTCCTTCAGTCCTTAGAATGAAATCCTCAGCTCCCAATCCCTCAGCTCCCTGGCCCTCCCAATCCAGAATACCTAAGCCAGCAGAGCCAGGGGTGAGGGCAAGGGCAACATGTTTCAAACAGTCAGACTTTGACAGGGATGCAGGGAAATTTTAACTTCTACTTGGACCACAGTCATGGTGTTTTGTTGTGACTCTTTGACAACCGTTGACAGAGTAGGTTTGTCAAGAGAAATGCTTTTGTGGACCCTTAGCTTCTACTGAAAGGCTTTGGTGTTCTTTGGGACCACATGGAGAGATTTAGGGTAAGAAATGTTTCTATTCTCCAGAAAATGTTTGGCTGTATTTATAAAATCTCTATGGCAACTACCTTCTCAGCAACTGACCAGCACAGTTGTGGACCCAAAGTGTGACACAGACACATTCTAGGGCACATTTCCTACTGAATTGGTTACACTTAACCCAGGAAGCAAGCTAGACCATCATTTGGTAACACATGTATGTAATTAGCTCCTGGGAGATTAGTCCCTCTGTTGAAGAACATGACTAGCTAACAACAGCACTATTCATTTTTCTGTATACCTGAGACTCTTGTATCAACTAAAACCTTTGCCTGAGATACTGATTGTAGTGGATATTTTGGGGAAAAAGTTCTTCCAGATGATAAAACCATTCATGCCTGGAGTCACAGAGCTGCAGATAGAGCAGAACAGCTGCCTATGGTTTCTGGAATTGGCCTGAGGAGGCAGTGTTGTCTAGGGTACATTGGGGTTTCACTTGTCCAGGAATTTGTATTTGTTGTCTCAGTACATACCTTATGTAGCGTGAAGAGACTGGCATCCTGGAGTCCTCTTGGCACACGAGTCCTCTAAAGTCCATCTTCTCTACACTGAGCCTCTCACACACTTCTCTTTCTCTTACTGAAATGTCAGGAATGAGCACTGTTTGAGAGGCAGCAAGGCTAGCGAGCTCCTCGGCCTACCACTGATTAACAGTACAGTGTCAGGTAGATCAATGCCAGTCCTACCTCTACTCTGACCTCCTCAGGTACCCTCCATGGAGGTCAGGTCTGACCATCTGTTCTCAGTGTTGGCAGAGAGACAGAAGCTACGTCAGTGATCATGGCTCACTGGAAATCATTGATTAGAAGCTGGTTGCCTGAAACTAAAGCAGAAAGCACTCCAGAAACAGTCTTCAAAGAATCCATACTTTATTTCATTTTTAATAGTTAATAGTATCATTGTTTCTACAAAGGATTCTGTGCCTTTTTCTGTATTCTGAAAATATTTCATAATTTAAAGAAAAAGAACAGAAAAAGAGATGAAATATCAGATCTACCTGAGATATGCAAATTATTTGTAAGTGAAACCAAAGCCTTCTAGAAACATGGGTTGCCTCGTCACTTGAAGACCCTTAATATACTTGTTGTTATGTGCCATTGAGTCACTTGCATCTCATAGTGACCCTATATAGTACAAGAGCCTTAACGCTGCTCTATCCTGTGCCAACCTCACTGTCTCAAACACACTCATTCCCACCACCCCAATCACAGAATCGATCCATCTCATCAAGGGTCTTCCTGTTAATACACTTAGGTCTGGTTATAATAATCCTATGAGATTTGAGTAGCCAACTCTATTACACTGATTTGTAGAGATTAATTTGTGGTGTGTACTTGTGGGACCCTGGAAAGCAGACGGTGATTAAACTTTTGGTAAAAGCAGTGGAAAGAAATACAGAAAGACACAGTCACCTGCAGACACTGTGATTATCTTGAAAAAAAAAAAAAAACCAAAGAAAAAGAAAATGTTCAAGTGCTCCTTCCTCCAGCCTGATTGATGCTTATAACTCTTGGGGTTTTTTTTGTGACAGGATATTTTGCCATGTATGCCTTTTGATGTGGCCAAAAGTGTGAAGTCTTTGTATCTGGGACGGATGTTTAGTGGGACCCCTGTGATCAGGCTACGTTTCAAAAGACTGCAACCCACAAGGTGAGGGGGAGATTTTTTCTACCCCACACAAATGCATGTAAAGATTCTTCTAGGTTTATAATGTCACCAAACCCATTGCTATCAAGTGAATTTCAACCCATGGTGACCCCTGTGACAGAACACAGTGGCCCCTTGAGAATTTCTTGGCTGTTATTTTCCTGGAGGCAAGGTGCCAGGCCTTTCTTCCGTGGTACTGTCTTTAGGTTAGTGGCCAACTATAAACTGTGCAACCCCAGAGACCTCACCGATACTGTATTTGAAAAGCCAGTGTTGTCTGGAGTACAGGCAAACTTGCGGTGGTCCTGGACCACCTCCTCAGTCTCAACATAAATACATCTTACAGTGGCAGAAGTTCAAGTACTAGGTCTCTGTGTAACTTGTCAGAAAAGAGTGCCACTGTCCCATGACCCAGCCTGTCACTTCTAGATTACCATTTCCGGCCATGACATCTGCTTTTGACTGTGCCACAAAGAAAGAATTAGGGGAGTTGGTAGAGTTGGATCTTCACTGGTGTTTGTCTCAAGACGGCTGTGTACCTGTGTGCCTGTGTGTCCGGAGTGTGTGCATCTGCTGCTTTTTTTTTTCTATAAGGCCATATGTTAAATTATCCGGGGAAGGAAGTTGTGAGTCACACGGACCTGTGTGTAATTCTCATTTGTGTCTTGGCATCCTTGGTCAGACTTGTTGCCGAGTTCGACTTTCGGACCTATGACCCTGAAGGTGTCCTTTTCTTTGCCGGAGGCCATCAGAACAGCTCCTGGATCGTCCTCGCTCTGCGGGCTGGCAGGTTGGAGCTGCAGCTCCGCTACAATGGGATCGGCCGCGTCACCAGCAGCGGGCCCGTCATCAACCACGGCACGTGGCTGAAGGTGAGTGGGCTCTGCTGCCGCTTCCTCTGCCGCTGCCTGTCCTGTCAGCCTCAGCGGTTCTTCCTGAGCTGAGGGCCCTGGAATTTACTCAGATGCTCAGATGCTCAGTTCTGACCAAGGCTAGTGACACAGCAGCCGGGAAGAGCCCTTCCCATTGTGATGCTGAGGCTCCTGTGGCCTTGGGTCCTGAAGGGCTTGTCTTCACCAGACTGTCAGGCAGTCTCAGTGTCACTCACTCCCTCAGAAGATAGATTCGCCACCAGAGCTGTGGTTCTCAAATCGAGGCATTTCCCTTCTCAGGAACATTTAATAATATCTGAAGACTTTCTTTTTTTTTTCTTATTTTTTTTTAATTTAAATAGCATTAGTTTATTACAGATATTTAGTATTGACTTCCCATATTTCCCCCCTTTTGTTTTTATCATAATTATGTTATCATCTAGATGAACATTGAAGACTTTCTTAATAGTCACAACTTGAACAGAGAAGTGGTGAGGAGAGTGATGTTACTGGCATCACTTGGATAGAAGACATGGATGTCATTAAATATCCCACAATTCACGGGGCAGGTCCTCACAACAAAATCTGAGTACATCTAAGACTGAAAAACTAAGGACCAGATGTTGGATGATTTTATGCTCCTTATATCCACATGTATCAATCTCCTTGGCCCATAGTCCAAGGAAGCTTCCAGAGCTCCACCATAAGGCTATATAAAAAGCTAGCCCTATAGGTCCCCTACACAGCTAGTGTCAAATATGTCATATAGACACCCTGGTTGCACTCCAGGCCCGACTCCTGAAGCCTGACCAGGGTGTTCATGCTTTCTGTAGTGGAAGATCTAGCTTTTGGAGATCAATCCGAGCACATATTTGAGTATGACACTATCTAGAGACTTTTCTGATTATATGGAGTCAAAACCTTTTGACCAGTCTTAGGTGGGCATATAGGATATTTCCTGATTAAACCTGTACCAATAGTTTAAAAAAATGTATTTTATTTTATTTTGGTGATCTGCTTTGCCATTAACTCTTTGATAAACAAGCTGGCCTATATTTTATCAGTGGTCTGTAATACGACGGGCTCTCCTCATCAATGCAGGGTCATTCACTGAAAGTGGGCTTCAAGAATGTGGGATGGGAATGGGGAAAGCACTTCCACCCACTTAGAAATGAAGATAAAATGGAAAACTTCACCCTGGCCTGTGCATATAAAACATTGTAGACGTTTGCTAATATTTCCATCCTGTCAAGTAATGTCTAGTTCCTTGCCTAACCTCTTAAAGGAACAAGGCTCTCCAGAGTTGCAGGAGGGGTGTTTCCAGCATAGCTACAAATGAAAAAATAGATCCAGCATAAGAAGTTTCCGAGATTGGCGAGCCTGGCCATCTGCAGATAGGAACACGCACTTGTCCTCCGTGGGGGTGCTGCAGGGGCGGGCAGCCTCGCGATGAGATAGCTGTGTGGAAAATATGACCTCGTCCATCTGATACAGTCTGCCGGGCTGCTGACTCACAGCTGCCACCGCACCCTGAAGAGAGGAACCGTTCGGAGCGGGCGGCAGATCCAGGGGGACGTCCTTCAGGAGGTGGGCCAGACCAACTGTGGTATTTCTCTCCACCCTGTCATTTCTGACTGGTCCCCAAAACTGCCCACATATATACGTGCTCTGTCTTGACTCATTGGACTTTTATATATACACAGTAACTAAATTCAGACCCAGTACCTAACTATTTTTCTCACGTAAACCCAAAAGGATGTTGGTATACTTCTCAGAGGTGTGTGCAGAAGAGCAACACACATGGCAGGCAAGAAAAAGTAGGGCAAAGCTCTGTATATGGCAGGCTCGCCTGAAAACATGAGGACTGTCTTCCCTTCCAGACTGGTGGTGTTGGTTGTTCGTTGTCATGGACTCAGCTCCCAATGACCACATGCACAACAGAACAAAACATTGCCCAGTCCTTTAAGACTTCATGGTTGGTGTGCTCAAGCGATTGTTTGGGCCACTGTGTATTTTCAGTGGATTCCAACCTGAGGAGTCATATTCCAGCACTATATTGGACAGTATTTTATTGCAATCCACAAATTTTTCCTTGGCTGATTTTCAGGTCTTTCTCCCTAGTCTGTCTTGGTCTGGATGCTCCACTGAAACCTGTCCACCACAGTTACTCTGCTGGATAAGAAACTGACAGATGAGAGGCAGAGAAGTAGGGTAGGAAGCTTTGTTGATGCCTAAGATCAGAACAAATAATGAACTACTCTTAGCAGATTTATTCTACAGGGGCCCTCAGAGAGAGCCATTTTGCCACTCTGAACTGGTTCTTTCATTTAACAAAGTTAAAAATAAGTTCAAGGCTAGCAACTCTATGACACATAGTGTTATATTCTTCAGTGACAAATTGTTTCTGCTGAGCAGTAAACCTAAACCTCTTTACCGTCTCTAGACTAGTTAACCTCCAGGGTCCCTGGCAACACTAAGAGTTGGGACTCTGTAGAAATAAGTTTATTCCGTCATTGGTGAGAATGCAAAAGAGGAGGAAAAGTTATCCTTGTGGGAGGAAATCAGAGTAGACTCATGATGGAAAAAGTATTTGAAGTAGAGACAGGGGATAGTCTTTCAGGATGGGATGTGATATTGGTCCATACAAGAATCCACTAAAAGTAAATTATTTATAAAAATGATAGATAAAGACTTAAAATATGAAGCATGGGGAGATAGAGTGAAAAAAACAGGCTAACCCAGTTATGAAGGCCTTTAAAACCATGTTAGAGAGTTGCTGCATATAAGGAATCCTAAAAGCAGCGAGGGAGCTGTGCTGTAGTTTAGTTTGAAGGGTATTTTTAAAAAGACAGGGGTTTGCCAGCCTTCAGATGGATTACAGCCAGACTTCTTTGAGTCATCAACACAGCCATTTTAAAAAAGAAAGAAACCCCCAAAACTATGGTATGGTGATTCCAGATACTAGTACCCTCAAAGAGCCTGGCAGAAAGAATTGAAAATGATCTGAGAAGGAAGATAACATAACTTCAGACCTTAAATGACTTTTACACATAACTAACTCAAATGCTCTGTTCAGCACACTATCAAAGAAAATTAAGCAACCAGAGAGAAGAACAAAGGAGAATCAGCAGAGATAATAGATAATAGAAGCAAAGCCCCAGAAACTTCATTTATTGGCATTATTGGACACGTGGTAAAACAACAACTGTATTTAATTGTGTTCAAGAAGAAAAAGCCTATGCTTAAAAATTTTTATAGGAAACTAGGAATTATTAAAAGCTAAAAAGGCAGATTTTAGAAAGAGGCAGCCAGCCAGCAATTCCCCAAACTGAAAATAAGAAACTAGAATTAAACATAGTAAGCAGACACAATAGCAGAAATGGGAATCCATACGCTGGAGAATAGGTCATAATAAATGTACATAAAATGAAGTATTTTGGAGTGACTTAAGGAAAACCACAGAAAATCAAGTAAGACACAATGATACAGTAAAAAGGGCTAATAGATGGTGAATTAGAGAGCTCTGGTGGCCTAGTAGCAAGAAGCTGTTCTGCAATCCCAAAGGCACCAGGTTCAAGGCCACCAGCTCCTTGGGAGAAGGATGGAAAATATCTTCCCATGTGGTTATCTGCCTCTGAAAACCCTCTGGAGGGTCAGCTGTTGGTCAGTTCCAACTCTACGGTACACAGCAACAACAACAAGGTGGTGAATTAGAGTCCCAGATTGAGGAGAGAATGAGACAAGACTAATAAAGCCATACGGATTTTGTATACAAACCAACAAAAACTAAAATTTTTTTAGAAACCTAAAATTCATAGAGCCAAAAGAAAAGTTATCATTTGTTTGTTTTAAGCTTTTGTGTTGTTGATTGCTGTCGAGTCAAGCACAACATATAGCAACCCTATGAGCAAAAGGCCTGAAGCCTTTCTGTAACCATCATCTTTTATCAAAGTTCATAGAGTTTCCAGAGGTAAACTTTTCCTCATATATATTCTGTATAAATAACTTTCAAACGTGAAGATAAAATTAAAACCTTTTCAGAAAAACAAAACTGAGCGAGCCCATCATCAGTAAAGGAAATCATTCATTAAAGGAAATGTGCCCATCATATGTAAAGGAAATGTAAAAAGGGACATATTCTTTGGGTTGGTTTTTTAAAATTTTTTTATTGTGGTTTTAATGAAAGATTGGATTTTCACTCGTTCATCATTTCACTTTTTCCTCCCTTCCCACTCCCCTAGTCTACTTTGCAATGCCTGTTCCAGATTGTGGTCATACAGATAATGCATACGTTCCTTTCAGACAATCCTTTTGCTCATCTGTTCCAATGCATTGTTCATTATCTATCCACTCTTTTCCTGTTATTCCCCCAGCTCCTCATGCCAGTCCTATTTTATAAAAGCGGTGTTATGTAATATTTGTGCTTTTGTGACTGAGATATTTCACTCAGCATAGTCCCTTCCAGGCTCACCCATATTGCATAGTGTTTTATGAGCTCATTGTTTTTCAGTGCTGTGTAATATTCCCTTGCATGAATGTGCTATAGTTTTTCTGGCCTTTTTTTGATGATGGGTGCTTGGGCTACTTCCACTCTTTGCTGAATAATGTGAATAATGCAGCAGTAACATGAGTGTGCATACTTCTATTTGAGTTATGGCTCTGATTTCTTTAGGGTCTATTTCCAGTAGTGGAATTGGGTGAGATAATTCTATTTCCAACTTTGTAAGAAAGCACCAGACCACCTTCAATAATGGTTGGTGCCATTTTACATTCCCACTGCAGCCTCGCCAGTTTTTGTTTGCTGCCCTGTGAACGTTACTATTGTTGCTAGGGTGAGATGATATCTCATAGTTGTTTTGATTTGCATCTCTCTGATAGCTAAGGATTTTGAATATTTCTTTATGTGTTTGCCATCGGAATTTCTTTTTTAGTGAAGTGTCTGTTCTTACCTTGTGCCCATTTTGTGATTAGATTTTTTTCTTGTTGAGGTGCTAGAGTAT